GCTTTTATATATATATATATATATATATATATATATATATATATATATATATATATATATACGTATATATATATATCGGTATATATATAGACCGAAACGTCCGACGTATAAATTATTATTTTATTATGCATTTTAATGTTAAAATAAATAAACGTCACGTCGGACGTTTTTTATTTTTGTTAATAATGCATATTCAGAATTTTGTTTTTTCTGTATTTTTCTTTCATACTGTCGGATTTATATCCATATATTTGCTTACATATATATATATATATATATATATATGCAAGTTTTTGTTAAAACGGACAATTTACACAGGATATTGAAGTTAAACTTTATTCTGGTTTGATTCGGCATTTCACTTTTTGGATGTATTAAGGTTTTGACACGGCAATAATAAATATCAGATTTTCTCTTTTCTTTATCTTTCACTCGGAACCTAATTTCCGATAAACACAATTTTCTCCATTTTCCTTTCTTTCGTTAACTTTAGTGAGTTTTTCTTTTATACTGTTGCTTTTTTTTTTGTTTTGTTTCCATTAGTTTATTTTCTTTTTGCTTTCATTTTTTTTTTTTTTTTTTTTTTTTGACAATGTGTCTTGTTTTATATTATTATTTCTTATTTTTTCTCTTGGGCCGGAAATCAAGTTTTGAGTAACCTATAAAACACTGAAGAAAATAGAGAAAACAAGTATTATGCTCATATATATATATATATATATATATATATATATATATATATATATATATATATATATATATATATATATATCCTCATACAGAAAAGATATTCTTTCTCAGGTTAATCGAATAAAGGTCAAATTTCGGATGCCGATTCTCAAGTTGGCCTCGTACTTCGTTGCAAATATTTCAGACTCTTCTGCCAAATACTTTAGCTTATTCAGGCTTAAAAACTTAAGCTAAACATCGTTTTAGACCCGGAAGTAAGCTTCAGAAACAAATGTTTAGGATCGAGTGTGCTCAACCAGACTTCTGGTCATTTTCATGAACACGAGTTATGCAGACGTGTCATCTTTCACGTTTTTTAATACTTTTGAAAATGGGACAATATCTGCACTCATTTTTAAAAAATATTCTGTCTCCCCCGTTATACACACAAACACACACACACACACACATATATATATATATATATATATATATATATATATATATATATATATATATATATATATATAAAGCAGTAATTCTACAAAAAAATAATTTTTTGGCATTTTATTCATAATAATCAGAGTAACTTTCATAATTATGTTGAATAAGGTGCTTATTGTACCACAGAAAGAATATGTAGCTACTGATCTATTTTATGTATTTTCTGAAATTTTGAAGGTGTGAGTAACTGTCAAATATATTTGTTGTAAAATAAAACCATCACATTTGCCTTGATAATGTCCGTCAGATGACGAAACGCTTTGACTAAACTAAGTATGGTTTTCCTTTTGTCTTTATTCATCTTGTCTGTTCTACAGATATGCTCCATCTGAGAATATTTACACACACACATACACACATATATTCATATTTTTCTAAATACTGTTTGTTGACATATAAAATTATGCACATTATATATCGTCATATATATATATATATATATATATATATAAATATATATATATATATATATATATGAAGTATATATATATATATATATATATATATATATATATATATATATATATATATATGAAGTATATATATATATATATATACTATATATATATTTATATATATATATATATCATATATATATATATATATATGTGAAGTATGTAGTATATAGATATATATATATATATAGTATGAAGTATATATATATATATATATATATATATATATATATATATATATATATATATATATATATATATATATATATAGTATATATATATATATATATATATATATATATATATATATATATATATATATATATATATATATATATATATATATATATATATATATATATATATATATATATATATATATATATATATATGTATATATATATATATGAAGTATATATATATATATATATATATATATATATATATTCTTATTATATACTTTCCAATCCGATTTTCCGATTGTTATTGCTGAAGAGTGGTTTGCATCTAGTGGTATGTCCTCTATATTTCTGGTCTCAAATTCTTCTTCAAACGGTGAATTGGGAAACTTTCACCTTTGTACTGTGTATGTTGTTGGTCATTTCATTGACTTTTTTTGTTTTTTTCCACACAACTCTCCCAATATTTCTGTCATCATGTGCTGCTGTTTTCATTAGCCGACCTATTATATGCCCATTGCTCATTACACCAGTAGTTTTTTTTTTCTTTTCCAGGACATTCCAAACTGGTGTGTTGGCTATGTCCAATGAATGTTCAATGATTTATTTTCTTTTTTTTTTCTTCTCATTTTCAAAATGGCTTGTTTTTCTTACTAAGACACCTTTCTTGTCTTCATGTTGGTTTATTCTTTTTAACAAGAAATGCAGTCTTTACAGGTGAAAACCAAGCCTAAAACTAAGAGTAGTCGTTCAGAGATCGTTAACGTTTAATCGTTCAAACTAAAAGGTAACACCTGGGCAACAAGTAACGCTTGCCATTCACGTGCTTCTGTAGCTTTGCTCGTTTTAAGAATAAGTGGATTCAAACAAAATGGGGTATGTCCTAAGTTATTCAGCACATCTAAATCTAAGTACCAGGAAATAAAAGCTGAAATCCTGAACTCTTATATCATATTCATATATTGATCTTAAACTCAGATGTCTTCAGTGAACAACAAAAACAAAAGAATTGGTCCTGCTCCAATACATTCGGAGATCACTGCATATATATATATATATATATATATATATATATATATATATATATATATATATATATATATATATATATATATATATATATATATATGTGCGTGTGTTTGAGCCTGTGTTTGCAGTGTAATTTTTGAAAAACGTGCTTTAATGTCTTCAACGGATATAAAAAGATATTTTCGTGTATCCTTCAGGTAAAATATAGACACAATTCTATTTATGCAGAACAATTTTCTTTATCTCTCAATATATATATATATATATATATATATATATATATATATATATATATATATATATATATATATATATATATATATCGCTTTATTTTTTAAAAAAAGCAGCAGATTTCAAAATTTTAGTAAAAACAAATGCTAAGAGATAAAAAAAAATCACATTCAACACATTACCAACAAAAAGAATCATTTAAGCAAGATTGAAAAAAATTGATTTATTTTCAATAACTTTAAACCTTTTTCTATCCAGTGCTGAATATGTTTCCGTTTCTTTTAATTAAATATTCGAAAACTGCTACTTCTTTATGAATAACTATATATATGTGTGTGTGTGTGTGTGTGTATATATATATATATATAAGTGTGTAAATCATTTATTCATAAAAAAAAAATAGTAATTTCATTTTATCCATGCTATTAAAACTCCAGTTTCGTGCCCATGGGGGCGTTTTTTAAGTATTTTTGGTATAGTTAAATAAATGGATTTCTATCAATTTCACACAGAACAAAACGCGTGAATAATCCTTATATATTAAAAGAAAATCTCTACGCACGATATACGTGCAAGAATAAATAGACTTGTTTTTATGTGTTCAATATTATCGTCTGCTTTCCTTTGACAGCAGGTAGTAGAGAATTTTCTGTTCCTTCGATATAAATTTGTTTCAACCGAATGCCTTTTCACCGACAGTGCATTTGCAAAGAGCATCACAATGATCGCCTGGAGATCTACAGTTGAGTCACGTGTCTCTTCATGTGTGCCCCGAGAATTGTTAAAAGAAAATAGATTACAAAACGAAACGAAATTTTTTACCTAAATAAATTTCTAACAAAAGGATTTGTATTTCATATTCGTCACTGAAATATATGCCCATGAAATGGAAACATTACTAGATTTAACTTGATAGTTTATATTTATTTTTTTTATTATTTTTGTCATGTTTTTTTTTTCCGTAAAAGATATTATTTAATAAGCAAATACGAAAATCGCAAAACCCTTGTGTGGAAAAGCTTTTTACAGACAACGCATTTCGCCTCTGTGTGATAGGCGTCTTCATGTCGGAATGAAAGGCAAACCTGTGTTTAAGAAAGTACGTGATAGGCGTCTTCATGTAGGAATGAAAGGCAAACCTGTGTTTAAGAAAGTACGTGATAGGCGTCTTCATGTAGGAATGAAAGGCAAACCTGTGTTTAAGAAAGTACGTGATAGGCGTCTTCATGTAGGAATGAAAGGCAAACCTGTGTTTAAGAAAGTACGTTGAAATTGCTGACAAAGGAGTAATAAATAACCTTATAAAATCCAACGAACGGAAAATCATTTTTTATCATATTGAATATGTTAACCTCTGCTGGACCTAAAATTACCTAACACCTTATAGTTTTTTTCTCTCTATTAGTTGGTATACCGTATTGGGCTACTATTGCTTCCGCGATGTCACACAATGCAATATATGAACTAATAGAAAGAATTACAGAGATCTAATCTGAGTGGGCTAATTTCAATTCTAGCCGACGTTGACAACTTCAGTGGAAAACGAAAACTATAAAGACGAGATTAAAAAAAATTGTACAAATATGCGAATATACCACTACAAATATATTGCTATATATTTGGGTGTATCAAAAGTCCTTACGTTTATTTTACTTACTCAAAGTTTATTTTATGGCGACATCTAAAGGAACTACCTACAATTCCTATTAATTAATGAATAAGCGCAATTATTTAATAAAATGAGACTGAAATTTACAATCAGCTTTTGTCAGAATCATGAATGTTTGTTGCTTATTTTTTTCCTGATTAGAAGTGGCTGAGAGGGGTGCAATGAGAAATCGGAAAAAACAGTGGACTTCCTGTATTCCAAAATATTATCCTTGTCGAAAATCTAATACGTACAGATGCTGCCAAAAATAAACAAATATTTCATTTACCAGAAAGAATCAGATAGATAGATAGATAGATAGATAGATAGATAGATAGATATTAGCATACTGAGATAGACTGTTAGATTGATTTTTTTTTTCATCTGAAATTGAAGTTGAAGTTAATTTTTTGTTTTTTTATTGAATAGAATGCAAACATTCCATTATCGAAATGGTGATATTGAAAAATGCTTGACTATAATCCCTGGCAAGATTTTCATCAAAGGCAAACGTCCAGATTTGTCAATCGTGTACGCGCGCTTTCCTTTACTCATTCGCTTCTCTTTCAATCTGTTCGTCTTGTCAATTTCATATAAATGCTATGCTTCTCGAATCACCACTATTTTCGGAAGATGGTTTCTAAAATCGTGCATCGTGAACGAAGATAAAACCCTGAGATGAAGTGGAAGTGATTTGTGTTGCTGGTCATCCATCCAGGAAGAATTAAATTTGACCGTGGTATTAGTGTAAGGACCAGAAAGATATGCACTCACTCACCGATATTCTGCTATCGTTTTTCCTCGTTAACAGTGGCAAGCTTACGCTAGGAATATGATAATTCTAGGCATGTGAGAACTAAAGGCGCCGGTGGGATCCTCGGACAGTAAGCAGTCAAAAAAAATGGTAAATCCCAATCCAATACTACTGCTGCTGAAGCCGTCAGTGTACACTGCATCTCATGGGGTTTCACAGAGCGTTCGTCTCCGGAATTTTTATAAAACTTCTTTTATCCACTTGTTTTTTACTATTAAATATTACATACCGAGTAGGGCTTATCATCTCTCTGTTGCGTCTCTGCCGTCGGGTAGAGTGCGACTCATATGCTTCTATCTGAGGACAGAGACGCGGGGTCTGAGCAAATTTGTTCTTGGCCCGGGTGTACCCACCCGCTCGGGTTCCCACGTTAAACACTACCTTGTATCAAATCCAAACGGAGGGGGAAAACAAGAATAAATATCTACTAAATGTAAAATTGTCATCAAAAGAATCTCGGTGTAGGTCAATCGTCAAGGTCAGTAATCATGTTGGCCATTTTGAGTTAGTTCGATGCGCACTGGGTGTCTCTATACAATATTTGACCCAAGTTAAAATCATGTCTTAAAATCGACTAAGCCAAGCCATTTTCTTTTTAAGTTTTCAATAATTTATAAGCATAACTGAATTGAACGTTTTTTTTTCTTTTATGTGTATGTACCATTGTTGTGTTTAATTTCGGAAAGTTATTGATTTTTAAACTTTCAACCGATAAATGCTAATTAAACTGGCAAATAAGCCTCTCAATCTTTGTTTTTGTCATTATTTTAATTTGTCACTTACTTGTTAATCAGTTTTATACATATTTATTATATTTATCGTCATATTGCCGACTTTTCGGGCGTTGTACGCTACTGCCTTCCTCGTTGGAATTTAGAACCGAACCCTTTACTTCGTCCACTCGGATAGATTGTTCTAGTTCCACATGCCATGCCTTTTCTGAATATCTCAGTTTCAGTTATTTCTCTTCAGTAACTCAACTCTCCAAGATTTTTTTATCCCCCCCCTGCTGTGGCCAGGGATTGAACTTACAATTTTTGAGTGTCAAGTCACTGGATTACTTCAACCAACGTTTTTATCCATTGAGCCACGCGAAACGTAGACACATAGTAGGCACTTATATTATAATTACTCATTAATTATGATACATTTTATAAATGCAAATCAATATTTCACAATAGAATTGTTATTAAACAGCAAATGCTGGTAAAATCAATGATTTGGACCGATTTTAAATGTGAATTAAGTTTAAGCGTCTAATGATTTTTTTTCTTTCAGATTAAACAACTTAAGTCTTTGGTAATTTCAACAATGGAAAGATTAACAATCAAACAACGTGTTACAGTTATCGAAGCCTATTACGAATATGCACGCTCAAATTTATAAATATACGGCCTAATGATTCTGCGACCAAAGAATACACACCAAAGAGTGACCTTTTGTGGATTTGGTGGCTTTTCAACATTCTTCCTTGGATTTTCATCAGCCCAAATGCGACAATTCTGCTTATTAACGAATCCACCAAGAGCAAAATGAGCTTCATCACTAAAGAGGATTTTTTCCGAAAAATCTTCATCGGCTTGTCTTTGTTCGTGCATCCAATTGACGAAAGTACAGCTCTTCAAATGGTCAACAGGCTTCATTTCTTGTGTCAATTGAATTTTATATGCCTATAGACACAAATCTTTTGTCAAAATTCGATGTAACGTTGTTGCGGAGAGGTTCAACAATTCCTGCGCGCGATGACGAATAGATGTGTCTGGATTTTCGACTACATTCTCAAGCACTGCAGCAATATTTTCAGCTGAACGGCGTAAACGAGCACGCAATGGTGTTTCCACATCTGCCCAGTTTGTTTAAATTTACGAACAATTGCACTATCGGTTGGTCAATTATGTTGACCAAAAAATGGTGAAATGCATTTCTGTTTGAATGTCCATTTTCTCTGAACGTTCATGTAGAGGCTGAGAAGAGTGCAGTTCTAAAAAGGACAATTTTGTAGTCGCTGAAGAGCGTTGTACTGAAAAGGAGAATTTAGTAACTGGTAACAATTGTTGACCTGAAAAGGACAGTTTATTGCATATCGTTGCTGGTAGCTAGGATAGCTGGTTAAAGATGGAGGCCTGTTGGAGATGGCGGGTGGTTGGAGCTGCGGATGGCTGAAGCCGTGGGCCCGCTCTCGACTGCTAAGATAGATACTACACTTTGATCTTAGTCATAAGGGCCGTGGAAAGATGCTTTTTTTTCTCGCTGTTTTGAGGCTTTTTTTATATACTGGATCAGAATTACAACAATCGCTGGTTTAGCCTATTCATAAAAAACGTGGGATTGCCAGCAGGATATAACATAAAAAATACGAGGCTGATCAAAAAGTATTGGGACTGGTGCTATAATAAGAAAACTACATCACATATCAATTCGTTATTTAATCTCCTTCGAAGTAGTCTTCTTCTGAATCCACACACAGCGTCGTTTCCATTGATAGAAGCATTCCTGAGCATGCAAATGTAAATATCCGATAAATAATTCGTAGTTGAATCAGAAAACGGAAAAAAACATCTCTTTCGTCTTCGTCCTTCAGGAGTCGGAAGATGTCATTTCGAAGGACGAAACGCGTAACATAGGAGTCTTGTGTTTATTTTTCATTCAACTAACCAAACAAGATATTTGAAATATATGGAATATATAATACAACGTAAGAAATTGCGAAAACGTTGGCACAGAGGTCGCCTGAAAAACAATACAGAAATTACAAACATTGATAGAGTAATAAGTAAAACAAAAAAATGACTTTGAGAAAGTAACAGTTCGTCCATGCTTAAAATATGTCTGCCACATATTGTCCGATACTTTTGCTATATATCTAGAGAACCTAATAAAATCCAAAGAAGAATCTGCAATATTAATGATCCTGATCTGGCGTCTCAGCTTCAGTCATTTTCCTACTGCCGTAAAGTTGACTCCCCGTGCGTTTTCTATACATATTTTCATGGTAACTGTTCGGATGACTTCTTCGCTATGGTACCTAGACTTTTAGAATTTAAGCTCAGTATTAGATTGACATCAAGATCTCATCAATTTATGGTTGAGCTTGCTAGATGTAACCCTAAATTCTATGCTAACACACACAGTTTCTTTTTTTCGCACTTCTCACTTGTGGAACTCTATTCCGGCTGTATGCTTTCAAGTCTACATTAATCTACAAAAAATTTGAATGCAATGGTTAATCGTTATCTACTGTCCTCCTGATTACTCTTCCTTTGTTCCCTCGCTTTAATAATGTTCCTAATTCTTCTACAACCATTAACCCCTTCTGTCTTAGTGGCATTAAAAACTTTTGAGAGAAATGACAAGGAGAAGAACATTTAAACTACATTGAGCAGCAAGCAAAGGGACAGCTATCGAACAGTTTCGATTACCCAATTTCACTTACAAAATTTGCTTTAAATTGTCGTATGGCTTTCAGACAATTCCCAACGATACAACACACTGATATCATCAGACCGATGCCATCACGAAATAACAGACTTAACAAATTGATCATGGTGATATTCGAACCAAAGTCTGCTGGATGGAATGCTAATATATATATATATATATATATATATATATATATATATATATATATATATATATATATATATAATGTACGTATGTATGCATGTATGCATATATAAAGACGAAAGGGAAAATAACTTATTTAGGCAAAAAGTGTGAGAGTGCCGCTTTCAAATCTTACTAAAATATAAATCTCCACTCCAGGTTTATTGAAATATCTCCTTTCCTAAAAGATCTACTCCTTTTCCAAACCTACATAATAACCATAAATATATAAGATAATTCAAAAGAAAATTTGTTAAATCAAAATATTCACTTGTTTACAATAAATAATTACATAAATTAATTTATCGAACTAAAAGAATGAATAATAATTAGACTGTTTTTAATTCAACAACAGTAACAAAGTTTACTCACGTATCATTTATTCAAATTCATTACATTATATCCTTCATAGTTCAACTTGACTTTCACAGGTAACCTGAAGAATATTTTTATGCATTTTAAATTTAAAAGATTTTAAAAAACTTACCCATATTTTTTTTATTTCTGTTTATAAAACTTGGTGAAGAATTGAATCAGAAGACGAAACGTGTTGGTAAAGAATAGTTTTCCTTTTGTCTTTATTCATATTGACTTTTTATAGATATATTTTTCGACTATATCTGAACTTTTACATATACATATATATGTATACATGTTATTACATTTACATATTTGAACATCTTCCATGTGCAATAAGTCACGTTTTACAAGCATATATTTGTATATATCAGTATGTATTTATATATATTACGTTTAGCGTGTTTTGAAGTATTTGCTTGCTTCATAGCAAATACACACACGCACACGTATATGTACGCATGAATGCGCGTGTATGTGTGCGTCTTCTGATATCGACCCATTTTTCGATAGAGAGTCTCGGTTCAATGCATTAAAATGAACATCACAAAAGTCTGATTTTTTTTTCTTTTATATTAGTATTATTATTGTTAGAATTCACTCATTCTCA